TAGATCAGGTCATTCCTGCAGGCACAAGGACATTCTCCAGATGAAGTTAGGTAGAGAGCAGAAAGTTCTGCATGAGGGAGAGAGCTCCATTTTGCCAAGTTAATGGAAAAAGCTGCTATACTTATGGCAGACTGGGACCTTGACTAGCCAGCCACGGCTTCCAGCATCTCTCCCTTAATTTTTTAATGGAGAGGTGACATTGTAAACCTTGAGGAACCTTTCACCTGTGTTGGAAGGGTCTAGGTTCTCGTAGTGAATCATGAACTCATTGTTGGTAATTTTAGCAATAGTGATGATCTGTCAGCAGAGGAAATGAGGAAGTCTAGGGGAAAGCATCCAAATAAAACAGAGCATGATCAAAGCTCTGAGAGAAGGACGGAGCCAAGAAATGAAAGGGTATGGAACCAGGTACTTTGCTCTATGACTGGAATTTTTAGAGCAGGTCTAGTGGAGCAGTTTCAGGGTGTTGGCATTAATTTTAACATCTGATTTCTGTACATAGAAGCCACATTCTTCCCCCAATACCAGGCATCACTTCCCATGTTGAGCAGTTATAGGGTCTAGTGTTCTATTGTGGAGCACAACCCAGGCAGGATGGTTCATCTGTATTTGGAGTGACTGGAAGCTCTCAGTTGTAGATGTCTTTGTCTGATCAAGTCTGTGTCTGAATCTTCAAGCCAGAGAATGTGTCTGGATGATGGCAGTTGTTGTCGTCCCATAAGGTCCAAGGGAAATGACAAGTCCTACTCCTACCAGTAAAGGAAGGAACATCTCTCATCTTTGGTTAACAGGAGTGTTGCTTCTTCCTCCTCATATAGATAGACCTGTGAAATAACCACAACAGGGGTGCAAACCCTGGCAGGGGGGTGTCTATGGAGGTGGTTATCTTTCCTTATACCAAATTAGAAGGGGAAGAGTGATGCCCGTCATCCTGGAAGGGGTGATGTTAGTGAGACATTGGTCCTGGGATAAAGGAGAGTATAGTGACCAGCACAGCTGTCAGCAGAGGTCATTGCTGGATGTACTAGAGAAGCAGTTAGAGGCATCGGGGCAGGTGGTGAAAGGGAGAAAGCTAACAACGTATTGAACAGACTGTGACCGGGGTGGGCTGAGCATTTCTTCTTAGTTGTGTCTCCTGTTGAAGGTATTTCTGTGGGTTAATGTGGAC